ATCTTTATTCAAAAACAACAAAAAAATATTAATCAGCGAAATATTCCCCGTTTGCATCAACGATCTTTTGCCATCTTTCGGGTAGCTTGCGAATTCCTTGACAATAGAAGCTTACTGGCTTCGAAGCGATAAAGTCATCAATGCATTTTCGTATCTCTTCAAATCTCACGAAATGTGTATCAGCCAAATGATGCTGCAGCGACCGGAATAGATAATAATCGGAAGGCGCCATATCTGGGCTATACGCCGCATGCGGGAGAAGTTCCCAGCCTAACGCAAAGATATGATCCTGAGTCGCTTTCGCAACATGTGTCGAGCATTGTCATGAAGCAAAATCACTTTACGACATCTTTGGCCAGTAAATGGCCTCTTTTCTTCTAATGCATCGCTCAAATTGGTCAATTGTTGTTGGTAGCGGTTTGCCGTGATTGTTTTAATTGTTGCCGGTTGTAACAACTCGTAATACAACACACCTTTCCAATCCCACCAGATACAGAGCAAAACCTTCTTGGCATGGATATTGGGCTTTGACGTCGAAAGTTGACCAGGGTCAACCCATGATTTTCTTTTAAGGTTATCATAAAGAATGTTTAGGGTTATCATAAAGAATCCACTTTTCATCGCCTGTAATGATTTTGTGCAGAAAATCTTTCTTCCGGAACTTTGAAAGCAAAGTGAGTGCAGTGTCACGCCGACGATTTTTGTTGTCTTCGGACAATTCATGCGGAACCCATCTGCCTTCTTTCTGAACCTTTCCCATCGTATGTAAACGTACGGAAATGGTTTGCTGCGCAACGCCAAGCTGTTCTAGAAGCTCCTTTTCAGTTTGCGCAGAGTATCCAGCAGTGCTTGCAATTCGTCCGTTTCAATCTTTTGAGGGCGTCCAGCACGCGGTTCATCTTCAAGACTGAAATCTCCTTTTGCGAAATTTTTGATATCATGTAGTATGACTTTTACATGTAGTATGACTTACAGCGTTCTCTTCATATGCAGCACAAATCATTGCACTGGCTTCAGCAGCATTTTTCTTCAGATGAAACGCGAAGTGGATGGAAAATCGAATATGCTCGTTTGTTATTGCCATCATGAACACTACTGATTTTTGAGGTTATGTGCATCAAACGCCAAACCGTATAGCATTTTAGAAGGCCAAATGTCAACGCTTTAAAACCGCAAAAGGGCGGGAAGATATATAAAATTTAAATTGTTATTTCGGTTGTATGAAATCTAAAGCTCAGAACTTTTTTGTACACCTAATATATATATGTATATATATATTACATTAAGTATTATAATTATTTTCACATATTAGTATAGTATATTAGAACATTCTACGAAATTACATAATGATAAATAGCACAAAAGATGAGGGGAAGGATGAGTCACCGCTTACGCTTTTTGCATCAACGTTATATGCGATTATAATTATTAAATATTTTATTCTTTATAATATGTATAGTTTTTTAATAGCGTAATATTTATAGCTTTTTTAATAACAAAAATCAAATTAAATAATGTACTAATTTCACGAATGTAGCTTAACATCTTTCCCTCTAAAGTACATGAATTGAGTAAATATTATTATTTTAAACGACAATTGTAGTTAATACTCGAATAACATTAATATTCGATTCTTACCATGTGTAATTTCAAGAAAAAATTTAAACAATTATCACTTTTTTACACTTTCCATATTAAACACGGTACAACACTCGGAAGAATAGTATGCTGATTATTTATCGCAATTCTAGCGACAATTCTCGGTAGTTCTAGCAGAATTTCATACTCACGTTTTAAGAAGAGTTCCAGCGATCGCATATTTTTTAATAACTTTTTAATCTCTGCGTGATTAAAAGAAATAGTTAGATCATAATCATAAAGAATGTAGATTTTGCAAATAATTTTTATGTAAAGCAATTTTATATCTTCTTTGCACCAATTGGTTCATCTCATTATTCTTTGTGTAAAAATATTGAAGTACAGTTACCAAAAAAACACGAAATGTTTTATATTTCATTTTATAATTGTGCGACACTAAAGTTTATTTTTCCATAAATTTTTTTTAACCATACTTTATAATCATGAATATTTGATCATGATTGCTTTTATGTGCAAAATAAAGGATGATTGTAGAGCGAAAAGTTCTGTTAGAACTGTGATAAATAATCAGCATGACACTTTTTCTCCAATCCCGTGATTTTTTTTTTTATTTATTATGCTGCTAAACCCACAGAGGGTTATCAGCAAAGAAATATAAACTTACATATAAAACATAAGTGAGTACAAAGCAGTAGATACATACAAGTCAAATATGAACATTGGAGCAAACAGATATACATGTACATATATGCATAAATAAGTACAAAGAAGTAAATATATGAAAAACTTAATTTAACATTGTTTGAATAAGCAGTAAAGGGGAAAAAAATCTAAATACAAATATCTATCTGTTTAACCAAGTTGTAAATAATTTTAAGTGGCGCTAGAAGGAGATCGATAGAAAACTACTCATCACGAAGGGCGGAAAAAAGCCTAACTCGGCAAGACCTTCGATAAGAGAAATTCTTGTCAAATTTTGGACACTACCAAATAATGTGATCAAGAGTTTGATCCGGAAATCTGCAGGTACAAGTAGAATCATTAACCAATCCGATGCGAACTAGGGAGGACCTCAAATGATAATGATTGCACCTGCATCGGTTAATCCAGATAATGAAATCTCTAGACAGATGTTTTTTGGAAAACCAGGGCTTAGGGCTCTCGCAGTAATAAATATTGAAATAATTAGTACCCTTAGATTGGACTAGATTTTTAATCTTTTTAATAGTACAATTCCTGGTCTGATGCAAGAATAAGATAAATAGATCCGTCAAGGGGATGAATAAAAGCGGAGATGGCTTATAATGAGTATCCTCCTTGACCAATCTGTCTGCCATTTCGTTGCCGAGAATACCTATGTGCGATGGGATCCAGAAGAAGTAAATTCTAGAAATAGCCGCAGGGCTAGCTATGACTCTATCCTCTAGAAGGATAAGTATAACTAAATAGGGGTTAGTACGAGCACCCAAGAGAAGAGATTGTAAAGCTGAGACCACACTAAGAGAGTCAGTATAAATGTAAACATTTCGGTCATAAATATCACTAACCGACTCTAAAGTCAGCTTAATTGCAATAGATTCAGCGGTATAGATAGATGCATTTTTATTAATGCCAACAGATTTGGAGGTGCCCAGTTCTGGCGAGTGAAATGCCGCACCTACATTACCCACAGGACCTATCTTGCTTTCATCAGTAAAAATAGAAATGGCGGGATTGTTTTTACAATTAAGGTGTTCCAGGAACAATAAGTTAGGATCTAGGGTGATTGCCAGGCATTTGCCTAGTTCAGTATTGGTATTAATAGTGTAGGAGCCTAGTATTCTTTCACAAAGAAAAGGGGACCAGTTCTGACAAGACCGCATCGGAAACCTTGCACAGAGTGTTGTTGATAGTATCAATAAAAAGTGAGCCAGATCTATCCATTCGCATCCAAACCGGCTTATGATTGACAGTAAGGTCATTAATCAAAACGTTAAGAGGGTTGATGTTGCATGAGAAAATTTTGCATAGGAATTTACTCCCCAAGTAAGTCGCTTTATCTTTAATGTAGCTCAATTTAGACTCTCCTAAAATAACATTTAGAAGGGTACTACATCTGAACCCCAAAGTCACTCTGATGGCAGCAAATTGAATCCTCTCAATCATGTTAACAAGAGACAACAAGCGCGGAAAATATATGAAACAGTTGTAATCAATAACAAAACGAATAAGACTTTTATAAAAGAGTAAGATAATATCAGGATCAGCTTCCCATTTTATACCGCGTATATATATTTTAAGATACGGAGGCGTCGTAGACATTTATCTTTGAGACGCACAATGTGTTGATCAAATTTCAAATGATAATCAAAAACAATACCGAGAAATTTAACACACTTTTGAGAGTAAATAAGATGTTGATTAATTGACAAGGTAGTAGTACCAGGCGCAATACTTCTCTTGTTGAAGTGAATCAAAAATGTTTTTCAATTGCTAGATTGAAAAAACATTTTTGATTCACCTACGACCTAATAACGATAATTGAAGACAAATTTTCTCTATTGAATTTTTAAGAAGAGTTTTATCAAACTTAGCTTTAATGGTTTGACAATAAAGGGCTATATCGTCCGCAAATTGAGAAACATGAACGTTTTTGTCAATGTTTAACATAATATTCTTGACGTAAATTAGGTAAAGGAATGGACTGAGAACTCCACCCTGAGGCAGGCCTTTGAAGGCCTTTTTAGTAAACGGCATAAAATCAGGGTGATTAAAAGAAATGTTTCTTTCATAAGTTAAAAATCGAATAAAGACTAACACTCTGTTAGAATCACAAATATTAGAGAGTTTTGAGAGGAGGATATCAGTGTTAACATTATCAAATGCATTGACTAACATCCAGGAAGCAGGCAACAATATCTTTTCTTTCAATGAAGGCCCTCTCAACAGAGAGCAAGAGAGTTACCAGATTATCCGAACAGGATCCAACTCTGAAACAGCCAGACTGTAAAACGGGTAAATACCCTCTGGTTTCAATCCACCAATTGCAATCTATTTTTTACTAAACGTTCAAAGAGCTTACATAAGTTTGAAGATAGTGAGATAGGCCTAATTCCGTGTCCATCGCCTTTCGCAATAAAAAAAGTAAAATAATTATTCCACGATGGGGGGAAGATTTTATTAATATATAGGCTATTAAAGATGTCTAAAAGAATTAATTTGATCTGAGAGACAGACCAACTATAGCGGCGATTTCTATAGCATCCAAACCTGGCACCAAATTAACTTTGCAACGTTTGAGAGCAAGATTCAATTCAGAAAAAGTGAATGGGGCATCGAGTATATGATTGTTAATAGGTACAGTAAGATTTTCAGGCATAGGACAAATCGGAGCCCAAGGAGGAGCAACCCTGAGAGAAGCTTTATGTATTTTGAGAGGCAAGTTTGGAATAGTCTTTTATATATATATAATATAATATTATATAATAGTATATTATATAATAGTCTTATATCAGAATTAATTTTAGCCTATTTGTTTTTTAGTGTTTTACAGCGCTTCCACACATAATTGATATTAGAATTGGCGTTCAGACTCTGTGCAAAAACCTTAAAATTACTTATTTTTTTTTAATAAGTTTCCTAACTAAAGCAACGTTTCGCTTATAAGATATATAATCGTTGATAGATCTAGTGAATCTCCATTTTTTTAGAGCAGCTTTTCTGAGTCTGATGGCTTTGTCACAGTCATTATCCCACCAAGGAACTGGATTCCTGCGCCTTTGAGTGTTATAAGTGACTTTCTGAGGGGTAGCAAGTTTTATACCTTCTAGAATAATATCTGTAAAAAAATTATATTTATCAATAGTGCTCAGTTGCTCGAAGTCAGGGCCAAGAAAGATGCTATATTTATTGTCCATAAAAGCATAAAAGCTATTCCAATCAGTTTTTTTAGTCCGCAATTCTATTATTATGACATGAAGTAGCTTTTGAGAGTCATATGTAATAGTGAGGGGAAAGTGATCGGATCCTAAAGAGTCATCAAACATATCAACTTTAACAGAATCAAAGATATCTCCCGAGGTAAAGATTAAATCCAGGTTGGAAAATTTATTTCTGTAGAAATCTACATGAGAGGTAGTGTTATCATTGACATAAAATAGATTATGCTCAATCGTAGCCTCAGCGAGATAGTTTCCGTTTGAGTCAGTATGTGTACAATTCCACAAAGTGTTGTGAGCAAAAGTCACCCAGAATGATACAAGTACCCTGCGATGACAGCTTAGCAAACAATGTATCCCAAGAGTTATAAGGCACTACGGAACCGGAAATACGGTATGCTGCAAAAAAATGTAGAGTGGGAGAAAGCTATTGATTCGAACATTTGCTACCTCAAAGTCATTATTGGAGGTACAAAAATCTTCTAATATTTCACATTTAAATGATTTGTTATATGTATTAATATATATAGCAATACCTCCTCCCGGTCTACTTAGCCTATCAAATCTATAGGTGTTGAAGTTTTTAAAGTCAAGAATAGTATCAGGTTTTAACCATGTCTCAACTACAATGATAATGTCCATAGAATCCATCAATTTTTGAAGCTCAAAACAATGCTTGTAAAGACCACGCGCGTTCCAGAAGAAAATATTACATTTAAATGTTCTTGTTATGGTCGCCATTTTGAGTAATATGTGTAGACGCAGTGCTTTGAGCCGGGAGAAGACAATCCGGGTCCTCTTCTAATGCTTCATCGGAGTTTGAGATTAAGGTTCCTGAGAATTCATCTGAAGAGTTTGTCCAGTTTAAGTAATTCTCAAGTTTTTTTTCAGCCTTGTGATTCTATTCTTGATTGATTTATTTTTGAGCACTGGATAGATTTTCTTAAACAAGGTGATTATAACAGAGATCTGAGGTGTACTGTGAAGCCAACACGATAGTGTCTTTATTGTTCATTGATTTAAGGAGAAAATCTTTTAGCACATCGTAAGATATAGTAGACACTTCCTGTTGTAGGGTTAAAATGTCTTTTGCTGGTGAAAGCATAGAATCCATTTTCTCAGCACTACAAGAAACATTAGAGCTTTCCGCTTTTTTCTTAATTTTTTTCTTGACTGGCCTGGAGGAGATTTTTGTGATTTTTGTAATTTCATTCGGCACAGCAAAGTTGTCACGAGTACCAGACACAGAAGTAAGCACATTACCGACCGAATCCAGAGTGGTGCACGAAGCTCCGGAGCTATTGTCAGGCAATGGCCTTTTCAAAGATGTTTTAGTTGAATCCATGGGAAGCGTAGAAGGGAGATCGTCAATTTGTTTATCCGATGAAGGATAGTTTGCGGATTCCAGAGATACGATTTTTACAGCTGAAGCTTCAAGCTGGTTGAAATTAGTACATTTCTTAGCAATATGTCCCTCCTTTTTATATAAAAAATAAATAGGATTGTCAGTCGTTACATATATCCAATAAATCATGTTATCAAAAATGATTTGGATAGCATCAGGTAATTTATCAATGTCTTCGGGGGAGATATATACTTGTCGTCTGAAGCTAAGAATGTGAGAAAATCCTGATTCAGAAATACCCGCCTTGATAAAAGAAACAACCAATGTACATTTTATACCTAAGTCGATAAGCTTGTTGATAATGATATCGTGAGGTATACTAGGACAAATATTAGACAGCAGGACACGTTTGGATTCTAAGATCAATGGTCTTATTGTTAAGGCACCTTTAATATTGACCTTTAATATTTACATTGGTTTTGATTCTCGTGAGAGATTGAATAATAAAGACATCAGCGAGGTAGAAGCAGATCTCTTGGAAATACGAGAAGCAAATCTAATGTTGTTAGGTTTGACGATGTTGCCTACCGCAAGGATATATTCTTTAATGGAAATTTCCTCGATGGCATCCAAAACTATAGCTTGCTCCTTTTTCGGGAAGATGACCTTTTGTGTAACATGAGAATAGGAAAAAACTTGAGATTCTTGACGATCGATATTACATTCTGGCTTCAGAATATCCTTGAATGTCGTAGGTGGGAACCGCTACGTGACCTTTTCTGGATATCATAATGAAGAAGCCCCCTATATAACGTGCAGGGAGGGAAGTCCCTACACCACACTTGTCACACTAAATTCCACTAAAAAGAAGATTTAGAAAAGAAACAGTAAATGGAATTATACAGCAACACGCGGACTCAGGATATAAACATGAGCGCAAGACAACACGTCTAACACGTACCGTGGTCTGAGCGAGACTCCCATCCTATGATTAAAAGTGTGAAAAACAAACAGTTTACATTTATTTTTAAAATTACATATAATAATGGGATTCGAATAGTACTAATTGAAACTGTTGTTAAAAATAATATTTATTGTATTCTTGTACTTTAGAATGGTCATGTTAAATTCACGAAGTTAGTACATTATTTAATTTGATTTTTTGCTATTAAAAAGCTATAAATATTTTGCTTATATTAAAAAAGCTACATATATTATAAAGAATAAAATATTTAATAATTGTAATCGCGTATATAACATTCATGCGAGTGCATTCTCAGCATGATAAGAAGCGTGAGCGGTGACTCATCCTTCCCCTCGCCTTATCCATCGCCGAGCGCCGGGAGGCCAATGTCGACACGCTGGGCCGTCTATAGCTCAGGCGAGCGCTTTCTTCCCACGCACTCTTATTCGTGCAATTTTAATATTTAATAACTCGAAAATTATTATTGTGAATATCGCAAAACGGTGTAAGACATTTTCATTTATCTCGCTCCCGTCTACCTCACGAGCGGTGTTACACATGTTGCGGAACACCCTGTATAAAAGTTTTCTTATTTAAGATTAAAGTTTATTTCTTTAATATTCTTTTTAAATATTTTTAAAGTTAGCAATCCCGAGCAGAAATTTGATCAGG